TGACCTAACTAATTGAATTGGCAAACACTATTAATTTTAATCAATTGCAGAAGACCAACCTAGCTATCACATGAGATTTTAGCTAGCTAGCCTGAGTTGATGAGACCATATAATTCTTTTTTTCTTTTTCTTTTTATTGAAATGAGACCATATAATTCTAAGTTCGAACAAGCTAGCATAATTAGTCAAGAGATTTTATATATATATTTAATGAACAAGATCATTTTTTTATTACATCTAAGAAAATAGAGCTTGATAATTAGGTTTTTCCAAAAACATTGGAATCCATGAGTGTTTTGTTGAATTAGGTAATAAAAATGCAACATTTTTACGGATAAAAAACCACACCAAGTCTTCGAACTTTTTGAATCCTATGTTCCATTTGATTATTTCACTGCGTCCCAAAACTCATCTATATCCAAGAAATATTCATCATCACCGATCATTCTCGAGCCACCGGTTTTCCCGGCTGATTGAGAGGGAATATTTCCATGTTCTCCTGACGATGAACTCTCTGGTGAACATGTCATTTTCTGATCTTCCTTTAGAGGGTTCTGAAGAGACGATCCTGCCACCGCAGGTAGACCTAGCTGCAGCTGGGCGGCGCCAGGCTGGCCTGGCATTAGTGCTGGTGGCGGTCGCCTGTCAAACGATCGTAAGTTTTTTGATTTCTTGTAGATTCGGCAAAGGCTGAATTCATGTCTCAACTGCATGTTAACATATATAGATGAGGAAACTTTTGATAATTAGTTATATACAAGTTATTTTTACATGAACTTACACTTTGTTTTCATCAGAACTTGATGCAACTTGGACGTACTTAAGACTCATTTTGGTTGTTTAAATATATGCAAGTTATTTTTACATGAACTTATACTTAATCAAATCTTGATAAAACTTTAATGTAATTAAAACTTTTTTTAGTTTAAGAAAAATAAAGTCCTCCCAAAAAAAAGGAACGATCAATCTAAATAAGTCTTAAAAGACTTACTTTGTTTTATAATTTGTTTGATTTAATTGATTTTATCAACTTATAATTTTATAATAAATATTAATTATTCTATAATTTATTAAATATCTACTACTGCTATCAGTTGTTTCTAATCTGTGAAATAAAGGGCCTACAGAATTACAATAGGAAATAGCAAATAAGCACTACAGCAAATTTGCCATATACCCCTTTAATCATGCGTTAAAAAAACACATTTTTGATAACCTTAGTGAGAATTTCTTCGATCCCAAAAAGAGTGGAAGAACTATATAGTATGGACGGGATTTTGTTTCTTACCGTCGGAGAAGCGCCGGCCGTTGACGAGGATGCTTCACCGTCAATAGCTTTGTATTCATTCATTTTCCACTCAGTTTTCTGGCCGCTGGGAGCCCTTCCTTTGTAGAACACCATCGTCCTCTTGACGCCAATGGCGCGGTTGTTGGAGTAAACACAGCCAGGAGAGCCGGTTGCTTTCCAGTACCCGGTGGTCGTCAGCCGCCTCGGTCGTCCTCCTCTCGCCTCACTCTCCCGCCTCGGGATAAAGAAAAACCATTGTTCCTTATCCTTGTGACACAAATACACCGAAAATTCTGCATCAATTACGGAAAACAATTACTATTGTACTCCGTACTAATTAATTGAATAAATGCAAAATTAAAAATATTATTACTACTAAGTCATTCCTTTCTTCTTCTTCTTTTTTTAAAAGAAAATAAAGCCCTGAGTTAGATTTTTTGCATTATATAGATTGTAAAACATTAGATAACTATTATCTTATCAAGATTATTATAGCATTAGTTTAATAATTAGTATTTTATAATTTAATATTTCATTCAAATTATAAAATACCTCTTCGGGAAAAAAAATTATAGTTAGATGTTACTACTAATTAAAAAGAATGTAAAACAAATTCTTGAATTGATGCTAATTGGGGAATATTTTACGTACGTGGAAGATCCCAAGGATTGTAGGCGTAAATGTCGACGACCGGAATAACACGATCCATGAGGCGGTCCAAGTCATCCCTCGTCCCATTTAGCTTGTGTTGCAGATAAAACGACACCAGCTCATCTTCAGTCGGGAAGAACCGGAACCCCGGTGGCATATCCTCCATTTTCACACTTTTTTAAAAACCAGCTGAATTCTGGATCTTCTAAAATGACTGAAAATTTGGCACAAATTTTTTTTTCCAATCTGAGTTGCACTTTTCAGACGTAAATAAATAGTAAGTTAGTGTTGGGATGTTAGGCAGGAAGCAGAAAGAAAGAAGATAAGAGGAGAGCACATGGGTGGTCTTTGCTAGGAAACTTCCACTTCGACGCGGTTCTAAGAAAGAATAATCTCTGTAGTCTATAACCCCACGGTTTCAGTAACCGTGTGCACATTCGGAATCAGTCATTGAGGTGGAATCTCCCTTTGTGTGGGTCCGTTCCCCTTGATATCCCATTCACACAATTCATTGGCATCATTTAGGTTTGACTGTGATCATAGTTAGTGATTAGCCAATAGGCAAATTAAAACACTTTAAACTCCGGAGGCAAAAACTTACTTTTGACAATTTATTTTAGGCAGAAGGTGCAATTCAGCCCCTGTACCTGCAATGTTGTGGCAGATCAGCCCCTGTACTAGAAACACTGGCAAATGAACCCCTCTACTACATGAAATCTGCTAATCACCCCTTCTGTTAAGGATGACGTTAGAAAATGTCATCTTTCCATTTGATTTTTGTGACCCGTTAACAAAAGATGATGATTGG